AATTTTTGTTCAATAAAAATCTTTCAAATGCAACTGCAGCTTTTTTTCCCCAAAACTTTGTCTTCAAAATAAGGGTGCGAGTTATTTAGCAATCTGTTATATGGGAGTATTCTGATTAGTTGGAATAGTCGGAGAAACTATTTCGATTAGGTGATTATTTTCGTGAAGCTGAACAAACTTTAAAGTTTTGGACAACATGGGGACCTATTGGTCCATCTCGGCTGTTCCATTCTCTAAACTAAACTAAAACTATTAATAAATAAATGTTTTAAAAAAAGGAACATCTTAAAGCCAGTCCTTATCATTCATGTCAAGCTTTCTCTTAACCTCACTTAAATTTACTGCCCCCACAACATCCAAAGGCCAACCACCCTGTTGGAAAAATAAAACTTTCTTAGCTGAAGATGACTCCTTCCCTGCCAAAATTTATACTTGTGTCCCCTAGTCCTACTATTCTCATTGTTAAATATATAAAAAGAGGATACATCAACACTATCAATTCCCTTTACGATCTTTAAATTGTGTACTTATTGGAGGGGTGGTGAATATATCAGAGAAGAGGGGATGCCTGGAGAAAAATATTTTTTTATTGACTTAAGAACTTAAAACCAATATAACCCCTCCATCCCAGGCAACAATCTAGTAACTTGGAGTAATTGAAAACAGTAATGAGAAATCATAATGGTGAAGTTTTGATTACTTCAAGAATTGGAGTAATTGAAAACGGAAATAATCAGAAACATTAATTTTGATTGGTTGATTATTTCATTGACATTAACAAAATTTAATTGATGCTCGTAAGTTATTGATTATATTGAGTTATTTTCCCAGCTTTAGCCAGCACAACTGATATTTGTGCTGATATAAGTAAACCTCTGTGCTTATTTCAGTTTTTTTCACTTCTACTTTGATGCGTATTCTGGGAGCTTCTTCGTTTCGTGAAATTATTTGTGTTATAGTTTTGTTGACTTCTATTCAAAGTCCATAGATTTTGTGGAGTTAAATAGCAAGGATGAAATATTTCAGGAAGTGATTTGGGATGGAGAATCACAAGCTTTTAGTTACTGTTAACCACTAATGATGAATGGTTGTAGGACTGGAAGTACAAGAACATTTAGGGTCACGGTTTTCATGACCTTGAATAAAACAAAAAACAGTGGAAAGAACGAATAAAATTAAATCAATAAGCTAAAACAAAAAGGATGAAATGAAATTGTCATACGTTTGTGTAGGTGTTCAAATATATAGTAAGTCTTTATACAGTATGATTATAAATCACTGTCATGCGTTTGTGTAGGTGTTCAAATATATTGTCTTTATACAGTATGATTATAAATCACTGTCATACGTTTGTGTAGGTGTTCAAATATATTGTCTTTATACAGTATGATTATAAATCACTGTCATACGTTTGTGTAGGTGTTCAAATATATTGTCTTTATACAGTATGATTATAAATCACTGTCATGCGTTTGTGTAGGTGTTCAAATATATTGTAAGTATTTATACAGTATGATTATAAATCACTGTCATACCTTTGTGTAGGTGTTCGAATATATTGTAAGTCTTTATACAGTATGATTATAAATCACTGTCATACCTTTGTGTAGGTGTTCGAATATATTGTAAGTCTTTATACAGTATGATTATAAATCACTGTCATACCTTTGTGTAGGTGTTCGAATATATTGTAAGTCTTTATACAGTATGATTATAAATCATGTTGTTACTTTGGTATGATTGAGTTATTCGATGAATGTCTGTGTAAATGTAATCAAGTGTTTAGTGGATAAAATAAAATACATAAAAAAAATCATTTCATTAGGCTGTATCAATTTTTTGTAGAAGTTTATTTTTCCACTGTTGTTGTTCTCTGTAGACAATGGTACATTATTTAACGTCATTGAAAAATTATCATTCATTCAATAATGAAAAAGCACATAAACAATAAAACTGACTTATTAACTGAAAATTAAAGAGTAGGTTTAAGTTTTTACTCAGTGCTCAAGGACAGCCTTGAAGGATCAACTAGTCCCTCGTTATCCTTATGTATCGTTCTTATATTTAATGTTGGTACTTTTATATTAATAATAACCTCCCCCCCCCCCATCCACTCTGTATACATCCTGCGTGGAAGACGGTACACATCGTACATCTCTGTTAACCACTAACCAATATAAACAAAAACCTTTTGTAGTTGCCACACAGTCACAGTTCCTGTTGTCACTAAAAGAATATTTGATGTCTTTGTTTACGTAGACTCTTCTGTGGACCAGAAATTGGAAACGTTTGAATGCGCTATCTGTCTCCAGTCTTGCATACATCCTGTGAAGCTCCCATGTCAACATATTTTCTGTTTTCTCTGTGTTAAAGGTGTAGCAAACCAAAGCAAAAGATGTGCAATGTGTCGCCAGGTGAGTGTTAAACTACAGGTGTTAATCTTACCAAAATTTACGTTAACCATGTAATTTGTATTTAGAAGAAATAAGTGATAACCCTGTATAACCCTTTTTTTTTGACAACTAGTGACTAAAGTATGTGTGAGTATTTTAATTATTGATTTTATTATATTGTAAATATAATAAAAAGATAATAAAAATATTAAATATGCATTTTTATACTTGTTTTTAATATGATAAGATTAATTTATTATGTGTATTTTCTTTTCCTCGTGTGTAAATGTGTATAAAGATACCACAGCACCGAACTTGTTTTCGTACGTATATTCTGTCACTTTATATTCGTCAGTAAAAATGTCTAAAAGTTTTTATTCCTGGAAGTAGTTACATGTGATGTATCTCTCCTGATCAGTATCAGATGGTTTCTGTCGTCTCTAACTTTTCACTGGGCTTTTCAGGAGATACCACCAAGTTTTCTGGAAACTCCAACATTGCTTTCGGTTCAAGACCTTGAAAATGAACTTGTGTTCGAAGATGGTTACCAGTGGTTCTACGAAGGACGTAATGGCTGGTGGCAGTTCGATTCAAGGACCAGTGTGGATCTGGAAACTGCTTTTAAAGGGGGAGAAACTAGGTAACTTGGCTTTTGTTTAAAACAAAATATGCTCCAGTATAAGTAATCATGTTTATAATTTTTTCTGGTTTTGAAAACCAACAAAATTATTTTTTCACACAAAGCTACTTCCGTTTCGTTACCGATGGAAACAGAAGTGTTTACTTTCAATGTACAATATTAACTACTTTTGATACACTGATTTACATGTATATAGCTGAAAAATTCCTTTTTACCCTTTATGCAGGTGTGAAGTTTTAATTGCTGGTTTCTTGTACATTGTGGACTTTGAGCACATGATTCAAATGAGGCGCAGCGATCCCTCTCGTCGAAGAAGAATTAAACGAGACTTTTCTACGATCCCCAAGAAAGGAATTGCGGGGATTCGTCTCCCACCCGTCGAACGTACCGCTACAGATGACGAGATTGCAGAAACTGAAAATTCTGTCACGATTGAAAATGCATCAGACTTTCCGATCAGTTGGGCAGAAGTGGCAGTAGAAGTTACGGCCGTGGCTCTTGTTCGTAGTCAACAGAGGCAAGCTGATAGACGACCTAAAAACACTTCTATACCAACAACACCAACAAACACTCCACAGACACCGGGACTTAGTCCTGGTAATCAGAGCAGTGAAAATAGTGTTCCTTCCTCTCCCGGTCGATCCGACCAAGACCTTGAGCACTCTTTGGCTGAAGCCATACATAATCTCAGAGTTAACGGCACAGCCGGTGCCGGTCAGAACCAGCCAACGGTGATTGTGACTTCCCAGAGAAATGCAAGACCAACTGTTGTCAGACCTCACAGAACACTTAGTGAGGGAACTCTAACAGGAAACTTGGCTGAAGAAGAAACACTTTGATATTAGTTGTGTCTTGAACAAATGATTAACCCAAAATCTCATAGCGTGTAGCTTTGTCTCAGTTCTGAAATCGTATTTCTTTCTTCTTTTTGTGGTTCTAATGGGGAATAAACTAGTCCGTAAACAGCATGCAGGTGTCCAGTATAAATATTTAAAGTGTACACAATGATCTGTTCTGTTGATTATAGATTTACTTAAGCCAAAAGCTGTTTATTTGAGGTTTGTATAGACAACTGAGATGAGTAAGATAATCACTTCTATATGAAGAACTAGCAGTCAAGAAAGTAAAGTAAATGCCGATTTTATTACTTGCGAGTGCATTGTTCTTGCTTTTGGAAGAGATGAGAAGAATCTTGAATGTTGTATCTACTTCATTGTTGTTTTTGTTACATCTCTCTGTTCTGACAAACAGTATCATAGAATCAGTCTTAATAATCCATCTTTTCGTCTCCCCTATAGCAAACTCTGTCCTGGTATTTGGATATATCATTTCCATTTTTGTGAGCTTGTTTTATTCTAACATTAGCTCTTCAGTTACTACTTTTCTTTCTTTCTCTTTTCCTCAGTTTTTTTTTGCCAGGCACTGCTTTGTTGTATGGTATTGTCGGTTTGTAGACGAAACGCTTCGAACGTGACGTAGCCGACCACCTGTAACATGTTATACGTATGAACTGATGTTCGACTTCTATAATACTTCAAGGATCTTGTCTTGTATAAAATATTACAGATCTTGACCTATATAATACTTTATGGACCTTGACCTGTACAATAATTTGTGAACCTTCACTTGGATAATACCTTTCTGATTTTGACCTTTATAATATTCTTAGGACTTTGACTTGTATAATATCCGAATGGTTGTTGACATGTCACGATACGTTACTGATCTTGACTTGTCACGATACGTTACTGATCTTGACTTGTTACAATACTGTACAAGCTTTAGCCTGTATAATATCTTACCGACCTTGATCATTCACTATATATGGTCATCTTGTGAACTATGAACTTGGCTATTTGTTGACCACCATCACCAGGATGTATTAGTTTTTAGCTGTGATCTTTATTTTCTTCTAATAAACATGCATCCCAAGTCAGCATTACAGTTTTTTTGTGAATCCAAATGTTTTGTTTTCTCTACGAGGACAAGCTAATAGTTTGGATGTCACTAACTCATCGTTTTCCACATCACAGTCCGACTTGGCAGTAATATTTACTACTTTAATTTGAGACTGCCAAGTAGTTCCTGGAGTTATGTGGTTATGACTCCACAGACTCATTCCGGGTTCTACAACTGAAGAATTTCGGTATTCTCATTGACAAGTTATACCAATGGATGCCCCATTTATCTTCTGAATGTCGACAATAACTGCAGTGTCAGTATTGTAGTAGGTTTTGTCGGAATATTGGCTACGTACAGATGTCAGAAGTTACTACCGGGTTCTGTTAGCAATTGTCTACATTTGATTTTGTATCAATGTTGTAATCTCCTGTGCTCATCCTTCTTGAAGCAGTTAATTTTTTTCTTTGGAACATGTCAATTAAGGACAGACTCAAGATCTCATGTTTCACCAAAGTGATACTGAATTTTATTTTATCTTAACTCTGTATCGGTTAATTACGGTCAGTGAGGCTGATATCTTTTGAAACTCTCATTAATATTTTAACATAAACACTGATAAAGAACATAAAACTTTTAGAATTCCAGTATTGACTTTGTATGGATTTTCAATCTTGTCAGAAATGAAAAGGATCTTTCCAGCTGTTCTGCCCTCCCTCTCAACAGTGGCTCAGCAGTAAAAACTGGAGTTTGATACCCGTTGTGCACAGCACGGATAGCCCATTGTGTAGATTTGTAGATGTTTGTTTCACATAACCAAAGACTTTCAGTAAACATGCTTGTATCACTCACAGAAAACTCGACTGGTTCTGCCATTGTTTTGAAGTAAATAAAACGTTTACACGACATCTTGTAAACGCTGAAAGTCCACCATTAGCATGACGTATTACAAACCTGTGATGCGACAGAAACATTTTGAAAACATAACCATAAATACATACTTCTTCAACTTAAAACCACGTTTGGTTTTCTAATACTAGAATTGTTATTTCAATTGTAAACATCCCTCAAATGATGATGTTTTTGTATGAAATTTGTGTTAAATATATATGTACATACATACACACACACACACGTTCATATTAATGTCTTAGAATGTGAGAAGCCTGGTTGTTATATGATACGATATCCAACTTTAGGCCTTAAAATAGATACAGTTTGTGTGGTAGTCAGCGTGCTGGTGTTGGTTCGTATTTCTTATGTGTTTTGTTTAATATGTTGGTGGTGCTTAAGACCGAAGAAATAGAATTCCTATGTTGTATTGATTTTATTTTTTCAGTCTTCAGCATCAGCTTTTAGATCCTATTTGAATATATTGATGATGATCAAATATATATTTCATGGAAAACTTCAATTAGTCAACATTTTAATGTATTTTGATATGTTTATTATGTACAGACATAAAAGCCGATGCATGAAAAATTTTGGGTATTTCTTGCAGTAAATTTTTAACCTATTGTTTGTTGAGTAGCGGATGTACCAGTATCAATTTATTGATAAAATAAAAATTCTAATAAAGTAGACACAAAAATTTGTGTAACTAATACGGTAGTAGTATATACGGTGAGCGTATTATTTTGTTTATAATTTTCATATCTTGGGCACATCAAAGTCCAGGGAGGGGCAAAGTAGTGTGAAATTGTGAATTCAATAACAAACTCGTAGGCCCGGCATGGCTAGGTGGTTAGGACGCTCGACTCGAAATCGGCGAGTCGCTGGTTCGAATCCCCATCACACCAAACATGCTCGCCTTTTCATCCGTGAGGGCGTTATAATGTGACGATCAATCCCACTATTCGTTGGTAAAAGAGTAGCTCAAAAGTTGGCGGTGGGTGATGATGACTAGCTGCCTTCCCTCTAGTCTTACACTGCTAAATTAGGGATGGCTAGCGCAGATAGCCCTCGTGTAGTTTTGCACGAAATTCAAAACAAACAAACTCATATAGGTGTGCTCAATGAATAAAGAAAGAATTATGTGACCCCTCTAAACCTCCCCCCCCCTTATGTGAACACATGCGCGTCCATCGTTCGTGACCAAACTACTTACGATTGCCCACCTGTACTCTCCCTCAGTGTGGTCTGGTCAGTGGTAAGTTCGACTCACAACATTAAAATCTGGGGTTTGATGCCATCCCTGGTGTGGGTAACTTGGGTAGTTTCTTGTTACAGTATGTCATCAGAAGCTGAGTCTAAGCCTCATCCAGTCTTTAAAAAGTTATTTTGGTAACGTTTACAGAATTGGAAATATTTATAGCTTCGTGCAACTAAAGGCCTGAATCCCAGTGGTTTTTGGTGGTTCAAAATCCTGCAGTAGGCATGGGTTGTTAGTACTAGCTAGGTACAAATTGATTTTACCTCTTTTACCCTCCCCCCACCTTTGTTGTTTTCAAACATTCCTATTAAATCTATAAAGTATAGATATCTTGTCCAGCTACTACCTCATCCTTCTCCCCCTCATATCGACCATAGTCCCATCGGGTGGGTAGCCCAATCAGCAACTATATAGGACGAGCATGTTTGGTGATGGGGGATTCGAACTCGTGACCCTCAGATTGAGAGTCAAATGCCATAACCATCAGGTGGCACCACCTGATAAATGGGTTAGTACACAACATCACACACAAAAGGTGAGATGCATTTAAAAAACTTAGCACTATCGAACAGTTGACCAATCTTTTTCAAGAGAATATATGATGTTTCTCCTTTCCTTCTCCTGAAGAAGAACAGCCAGAATATATGATGTTTCTCCTTTCCTTTACCTGGAGAAGAACAGCCAGAATATATGATGTTTCTCCTTTCCTTCTCCTGAAGAAGAACAGCCAGAATATATGATGTTTCTCCTTTCCTTTACCTGGAGAAGAACAGCCAGAATATATGATGTTTCTTCTTTCCTTTACCTGGAGAAGAATAGCCAGAATATAT